CTCTGAACCTTCGGGCGCCCGGTCACCAAGGACAGCCTCATGGCAAACTCCATCAAGGAAGTGATGGATTCTATCCCGAGCATGTGAGTCGCAGAACTGCCTGTATATTTGCTTAAACTCTTTAAGGTGAACCATGTGGCAAGAATGGTGAACAATGATTGGAAAACCTCTGCAGAGGCCTGGGAACACTGTATACAACATCATGGCCTCAAATGCGCTTTTTCTGCTCCTTAGAGCAGAGGATATGTGCTTTACACATTAGTAAGTATAAGAAATGCCCAAGTAAACAAATGTAAATGTGTGGAATGTATATGTGTGAATTCAGGGAAGGAGGGCAGAAACAGAGTTTGAAAGACAAGGGATAGCTCTATTTTCAGCCTCCAGCTTGCACAAGCCACATTTCCCGACAGAAGCAAAGCCACTCTCACCTTCCATCCATTCTGAAATTGCATTGAAAAGCTGTGTCTTGGATGCGTCAGTACCGAAAAATGATCTTGGGAGACCAGAACAGAATCAGATTTACAAGGCTTGACTCAGCAGTGAAGAGAAAAAAACTAGGGTTTAACCTCTATATACTTCTTAGTTAAGAGATCATGGACACACTGTTTTTTTGAATAACAAAGTCTACACTTCAGCCAAAGGAATGGCTGCAGCTTTGAAAATCCAGTAATTAAGAAGTGCACTATTTGGCAAAAAAAGGATGGAAACATTTCTCCTTCCCTGTTTCTTTTAAGCAGGTCATGTTAGCAAAAGTGAACAATCCATCAGACAGTTAGTGTGGGTATTTAGAACTTTCAGGAAACAAGAAAAACTTGCTGTGAAAAGTGGCAGAAAACGAAGAAACCAGGAATAAGTAACTAAAAGCGAGAAGGAAGTGGTGAATTAGGTGACGGCATATGCCTTGGGTGAAAGATAGAAGTCAGACGTGAATGACTAGAAATCAAAACTGTGCTTTCCCCCAGTTTTATTATTTTACTTATGTTATTAAGAGCTTTCCTATCCAGAAGACAAAGGCATGAACTTTCCTGGCTCTCACTTGGTGATTCAATGCAGGGATACCACCCACGACACCTCAGCGTCCTCAAAAGTTACAGTACAACTGACGGCTGGGTATCAGGATTCCTGCAATAATCAATTAATAGATGCCTGCGCAGCACTCTGAAAATCTCTATTTATAGCATAAGTATTAGTTTCAGATTACTCCTGTGGGGATGAATGTCTCCATCTCATTTCACTGTCCTTGTGTTTTCTTTGTGTAGCTATAAGCACTTTAATGAGGGCCTCCTGGTGGTGGAATTTGTGACAGTCAAGCAGGAGGAAAGCATAATTCTTTGCAATGTGGTGAAACAGCTGTTCTTCTGTCTCTTGAGTTGGCTATAATGAAAAGAAGAAACAAATAGAGAAAAAGAGGTGTTTGCTTTGTCGATAAAATGTAGGTGAGATATTCTAATATCTAGGATACTAAAAGACGGGACATAGTTAACTGCAGAGCACTGAGGCAACAGGAATTATTTCACTGCTGAAGAAATAAATTGGGCATGAAATTAATTTCAATATGCCAAAAAGAACTTATTTTATAGGTTTTAAACTCCATTTCACTTAGCCCACCAGTCAGTGCAGCAAGTCTCAAACAGCAATAATTACAATAAATATTCTCTTCGACATCAGAGTAAGCCTAGAGTAAGCCTACTGCATTCACCAGTCAGTGGGATTTCCCTATAATTATTGATATGACAGAGAACAATAATAATCCCTCAGTCTATACGAAAAAAGGAAAGAGAAACACTATGGAGTTAAAAGCGGCTCTGAGACCATCTAAGCTATAGATTCTGTATCGCTTGCAAACCGAAAAAAAACGAAGAAGATGTTCCAAATTAGGGTACCAAGAACAGCTTGAGTCTATTCCAAAATTTCCACATTGACATGTGCTGCAGCCCTATCTTCATCCCGTCATTCTCTCAACCTTCCACCAGCTTTCTCAAAGATGTCTTCATAAAAAGATATGCAGTTTCCTTACAGGATGACTGCAATATGCAGGTTCCTACCTGTTTAATGAGCTTTTGCAGATCCTAAGTGATATCTCTAGTTATTGTGCCAGGAGAGAGCGTGCACTAGGTGCTTGCTTCCCCACAGAGTGACAGGCACAGAAGGATGCACAGTGCTACGCCATAATGCTTTTAACATTGCGTAAAATCATAACGTCAAACTACCCGCTGGCAGGAGAACAATGCAATATATTGAGAGGCAATGCTAGAAACAGCAATGGTCGGCTCTTATCTCAGTATCTACCTGATGTAAGTGGAGAAATAACCACTAAAAGCTACTGCCAGAATAGCCTGGGAGGTTGGTGCAGTGAGGAAATTCCACAGCATTTTTCGAGGAAATGGAGTCTGGCAAGAAATGAAATTTAGTAAAACCATGCAAAGGAAGAAAGATTCCTGAAGCAAATCACACTGAAAATCAGACAACTGAACCTCTTTCTCTTGCTCTCAAACTTCTGGAGAAGCTTTCTGAAATCTTATTCACAAGCCATACCAGCACAGAAACTATTCACATACATATTAGCATCTGTGCATATGGCAATCAGGCACACAGTACGCCTTCACCGCACACACCAAGGCGGTGGGATGGGCTGCCTGTTTTTTTCCGAGTCTCTGCCTTGGAGAAAGAGGCTGTCAGAGATTCTCTCTGTCTGAGAAACACTGTGAGGCCCTGGATAAATGAGATGGTTTAGTTTTACAATAATTATACTGTATTACTGCAATATTCATCCTACTTAGTGCAAGGAGAACTCAAGTGCACAACTGTGCTGAAACATACAGGTTTCTTCTAGGAAGGTGAACACTACTACCCCTGTGTTACTGGTGGGGCATGTCCTGACCAGAGCTTCTTAACATCTGTTCCCCCCACCCCCCGCCCCAACAACCCCCTGTAGTATATATAAAGGAAACGTATGTGCCTTTGTCTTTGAGCACCTCAGGTAGATGCTTCTCTCACTTGCAGCTCTTCTGATCTGAGTGTTGGTTTGGAAATCCAGAAATTTTCAGTCCATTTAACAACTAAAAAAAGTGAAAGCAAGTGTTAAGAGCTCAGTTCCTCACTGTCCTGTATGGTGTTCAACTCTTCTAGGCACGTAGGTTAGCTAAAGTTTCTTTCAGGTCAAAATTGTAGTTCTACATTCTCCCAGCTTTTCTTTCAAGGTTCTTGCCCTCATTTCACTCTGGCCCTTCTTCTTTTCATTTCTCTTATCCAATACATGCACACTCACATATGGATGTTAAATGCCAGTAGGAGCCACAACTACTTCACAAAGCCCTTGTTCGGAACTGCAAGTTTTTGTTCTACTTTTAAGGGTGTTGTTTCCCCACCACCACCCTGTAATCCCTTCTCATATAAAAAGTCACTAATTTCCAGTGTACAGACTCCTGTACATGGGGTCAGAAGGCCACTGTTTTTATAGTACGTGTCCTGCAAGAATCAGATATTGCTTAACTGGACTACCAGAAGATACTGCAGCACCAGAGATTTTTCTTGTCTGTAGTCACTGAGTTGGTACTGTGGTATTTTTCCAATTCTCATTCCAAGTGAGCAATTTTCTGGTTGACTTCAGGCAGGGTGCTAATTAAGCACTTTGAGAATGTAAAACTGTTAAAGAACTTTTTTTTTTTTTCTTGTGGAATATTAATACATGTACAAACCAAATTAAAAGGCTGGTGATTCTCTTATTTTCTCCTCTCTTTCTTGGCATTTCTGTTTCTCAGCCCCCCTCCTCCTTTTCTTCCCCTTTTCTTTATTGTTCCCCTTTAACTAAAGTCAGCTTCCTAGTATCTCATTATTCCAAAATTTTCAGGAAAGTCTCACAAAGTCCTCAACAGAAGCTTTTCTAACAATGAGGCAAGTAATTTCAGATCACTAAATTCTAATAGATTGGAGAATTATTTTAAAATTTAGAAAGAACTTGGTATTTTGCCTCTCCATTATAGAAAATATTGGGTGGTATGTACTACATACCCCTGCCATTCATTCAAAATATTATCCAAACTGACTACCGAAGCCGCTTCTCATAGAATACAAGCCAGCAACTACCACAATAAAACTAAATTTATTCCACAATGTGCTGAGAAGGGAGAGGACTTTGTAACACGCACAGAAAATCAGGACACTGGGACTGCTCCAGAGGACGGCTTATTAAAGATCTGCTCACTCTTCTCTGTTCAACTTCTAATCCACCATTCCCTGAACTCGTGTAGTCCAGGAGCCCAGACCTTCTCCACCTCTTCTCCCCATGTTCCCAAGCAAGGAGGGATTCTCTGCCTAATGGCGTTTCGTCGTTTACCTGCAAGAACGATTAAAAAGAGTCTTCCGACCAATTCAACCATTTTAGGTAACCGGTGGGCAGAAAGAACATCACAAGCTGGATGCAGCCCGACCACGAGAAGAGCCCCATCTCCACACCACCGGCCCCTCCGCGCTCCCCCCTCTCCACCGCGGCCAGCGGGCCCCAGAAGGGGCGGGGGGGGCGGAGTGGAGCCCAAGGCCGGTCAGTCGGGCCCTCCAGGGGGGGTTTCCTCCCTCGCCCGCT